GCAAAATCCCACCAAAAAATTCGATATTTGATCGATATTACTAGGTATTATTTGATAATAACGAGGAATACCGTTCTGTGAAGATCAATACCGAGTTATGCCGAGCTATACCGAGTTATACAAAAGTTATACCAAGGAAACTCGGTACAACTCGGTATTGCTCGGTATAGCTCGGTATAATTCGGTATTGGGTCTTCACGTGATGATATTCCTCGTTATTGTTTGGTATTGCTCGGTATTTGCTCGGTATTTCTCATTTTTTGGCGCGATTTGGCCTCCGACCGGACGTTCCTCTGCGTCCGGTCGGAGGACGTAATAATTGTTCGTGTGGGAGACGAATTTGTGCGGCTTGCATGTAAGGATTGGGAGCAGGGATGACCACACACCTTCAAACCGAACGAGCGTAAGTGTGCCGCTCTGTTTGAATTTGCGAGGGCATGCGTGCAAGAGGTTTTATTTCGTGGTTGGTTGTGAGATCATGTGTGAAAGGGTAGTGGGAGCTGGCCAGGCTAACGGTTTATTGTGTTTTTTATATTATATTTGTTTTTTTTTTTTTTAACACTTCATCTCCTTCACATTCTTTGTATTTACATACCAACATTCATCGGTTTGGGTTTTTACAACATGAGTCAAACAACAATACCATGAGTCAAAACTAAATAAAATTACATAAATAATAGTTAAAAATATTTACATCTTCATTTTACATAAAACTATGTCATAACCGTTAATAGATCTTCAATTTTTGCAGTATTGTTAGTCTCTAATTTTTTAGGATGCAAATTTCCTTTGTACATCAACAAGTCTTCCATACTAAAAACTAGACTAATAAACATATCTAATGGCAAGTCTAGCTGATTGTTGGCTCCGAAAATTCGGCCCCGACCTCCAAAGCTACTTTTCTTTGGGGGAGTTTTAACGGATTAAATTACGGGGTAAATTTTGGAAAGGCATATAAGTTTGTAGATAAGACACTATCCAGAGATTTCACCCTCATGTTGCGATGACTTTATGATTTGAGTTCTGGTTTCCTATAGGTGCAACCTCCTATAGTTAATTACCCCTCCCGATAACTAGACAAAACTTTCGATTGAGGCTAGTCGTCAATCAGATATGTAGAGATACACGTTATCTGGCATATAGTAATAGCATGGGTTTGGGAATTTGGAAATTTGAAGGTTTTATATTTAAAATTTGAAATTGCACCATTTTAAACTTTAAAGCGAATGGTGGGGGAATGGAGGATGGACCCGATCAAGATCCTATGGTTCCGTCGTCCCGCGTCATCGTGGTCCCTAGTCTACTTAGTTAGAGGAGGTAGTCGTCCCAACCTGACATAACGATCCTTGTCGGCAGCCATGGGTTGCTTCGTCCAAGGGTACCATGTAGACCTGAGATGGATGATTGTTGTGCAGCCATGGGTTGCTTCGACAACCATGGGTTGCTTTGGCAGCCATGGGTTGTTTTCTGCATGTAGATTGTTGTACACTAACAAATCTGCTGCTATCGATTGTAGATGATTGCATCTGTTGCAGTGCTTTCGCATTTGTCGATAGTCAATATGTTGAATATGTAACGGGCCTCCTATAATTACTTAGACACCATGTAGGTATGTTTGCATTTGCTGCATTCTTTGTACATTTTGTTGTGATCTTTGGTCTTTCTAGTACATCCACTATTGAGGTGGCATGTAGTACGTAAATCCATATTCGTAGAGAATCTCAATGTGTTGCAAATCTTCTGGTGCAATATAACGACTTTTGCATTTATCACAACTCTTATGTATTTTTTTGTAGATAGCATATTGTGTATATGAAGGATCTTCTACAACGACTTGTCGGAGTTTGCATTTGTTGTATTTATTCATCCTCTTATTTGTAGACGAAATATTGGGTGTATAACGAGCTTCATACAGTAACTCGTAGGTCATTCCACCTACCTTTATTTAACACTGTCGTTGCCAGGTCCCAAGTCCTGGATGAGAAAAGTGGAGGGTTTGCGTTAGGTAGTCGACAGCCAGCGTAAAACTTGTCGAACAATAATGACATGAATCCTTTAAGAAATTGTGTTAATGTTAGGGCGTCCCTGGAAGCGACGCGCTGTATGGCCTGAATACAGTGACAAGTGTGCAAGGGCTCCTACCTTTACTTGCATGATTGACATGAACTTTACACATCAACTATCATAATTTGTACGAAATTTACCTGCCAGGGATTTTGTACATCCGCTCACCACCAAATTATACATTCTCTTTAATTTTCTTTGCATGTTAAGTTCAATACATCTATTTGTATGTTGACCAATCATCGATCACTTGATTGTTGCATGTAAACATGCCATATAGGACACTATAAGTCTTTTGATGTTGTATGAAGATGTTTTAAATCTTGCGAAATAAATTTGATTGATAAAATTCGCATTCCAGTATGACGACCCATTGATATTTTATTGAAATCTTGTGTTTTGATTGTTGCATTTTCCAATTAGTCTTTGCTTGTTAATAGAAACGCATACGTTGCGTGTCTATTTAATCATCAATCATGCTTGATTAGTGCTCCAATCAAGCCCAAATTAAACTCGACTTTCCTTGCATTTCAATTGAGTTCAAGCTCTATTTTGAGTTCAATGTGCCAGTTCAATGCAAGTCCAAGATGAATCCAAGTATGAATCTGAATTCGAATTCGAGTTCATTTCATATCCATTGTAGCCTTGTTCAATGTCGAGTTCAAATTCATTTAGGTCTTAATTTTGTCATTGTTCACTGTGTCTAATTCAGGCTTGAGTTAATGCCAATTTTGTTTCATTTGAGTTCAAATCATGTTAAAGTTTGAGTCCAAGTTCATTTGAGTCCAAATCAGGTCCTTGTCGTCCAACATCATTTGATTAAGTTTGATTTAGTTTTGATGTTATGTTCAAGTCATAATCATTTACAATTATTCATTCAACTTTAACTTGTCTTCATCCAATGTATGAGTTTCCTGCTGTCTAAATTTTGTTGTTAATTTGTCCAAGTCCTTGCGCGCTTCAGATGAAATTCCGCAGGGCCAGTTTAATGACCTATTGTGGTTCGACCAACAAGGACAGAAGGCAGGCTCTATTGCGGGCTGAATTTGAAAGGGGAGGGGTTTGTTATGATCCAAGGGGTGCAGAATTTAAAAAGAGAATGTGAGAATTTGATGAAAGGCTTTAGTATGAACCTAGAAGGGATGATTGGAACACTTGGGGGTGTGGGCTCCGAAAATTCGGCCTCGGCCTCCACTCGCTTTTCTTATTCGGCGAGAGAGTTTTAACGAACTAAGTTCCGGGGTAAATTTTGGAAGGCAGATGGGTTTGTAGATAAGACACTACCCAGAGATTTCGCCCTCATTTTGCGAGGACTTTATGATCTGAGTTCTGGTTTCCTATAGGCGCAAGCCCCTATAGTTAATTACCTCTCTCGATAACGAGATAGAACTTTCGATTAAGGCTAGTCGTCAATCAGATACGTAGAGTATACGTGTTATCTGGCATATAGTAGCAGCATATGGTTTAGGATACTGGTAGAAATTGAATTTGGGTTTGTGAATTTGGGAAGTCTGGATATTTGGAAGATTTGGTATTTAAAATAGAAATTTTCACCATCTAGCACTTAAAGCGGATGGTGGGGGAATGGATGATGGACCCGATCAAGATCCCATGGTTCCGTCATCCCGGGCCATCGTGGTCCCTGGTCTAGTTAGTCAGAGGAGGTAGTCGACCCAACCTGACAGAAGGATCCTTGTCGGCAGCCATGGGTTGCTTCGTCCAAGGGAACCTTGTAGACCTGGGGTGGGTATTTGCCTAAGGGGACAAATTTGAATCCACCTTAGCTTACAGAGGGCTTTGTGCCCTATCGATCATATCCTATTGATTCATATCTCAAGGATTTAACGCCATTAAGGAGCGTATTGGCTCTGGCCATAACCGCTATCTGTGGTGCCATTTGGCGGCAAAACCACTCGGTTCAGAGGGCCCCAGGTCATAACCGTTTACCTGCAGTGCCATTTGGCGGCGAAACTGCCGGTTAGAGGACACGTACCACGTCCTTACTGGCAAGAGATTGTTTGAGAATGGATCCTAGTGATATTTTCGACTAGGCATTTGGCTCTTTGTGAGCTAGAGTAAATTTCAATTTGTCCGCCTCGGCAAACTATTGCGGAGGGCGGATGGATTTTGCTTTAAGTTTTTTGATGGATTTATTTCAATTTTAAATATTTTTGGAATTTTGAATATTTTTGGGATTTTGGATTTTTTTAGATTTTTGTGGAGTTTTTGGATTTTTGGGATTTTGGGTATTTTGGTGGAATTTTGAGTACTTGGTATGGACATTTGGGTGGAATTTTGAGAAATATTTGTGAAATGGGTTTTGGAAGCCACTTGAAAGTATTTGGGAACCCCTCCGGTTGAGATCTGCATTCAACACGGCCATCATCGGGGTGTTCGGGGTCATTTCTCTTTATGGATTGAACCTTGTCACTCTGTCGGGCTGTCGACAGAGGATCGGGTTTCGTAGGCTTTTTGCCCTTGTAAGTGAATTCTTTTGATTAAAGGCTTTGGAGGCCTGATATGAATGTATTAAAACAATATACTGGTCCTCTCAACCGTGTATTTGTTTGAGAGTTCGAACCTTGTCGACTCCTATTGATCCGTATAGGAGGATCGGGTTCGAACAAGAATTCACTTGTCAGCCCGCGCAGCATCCCTAGACGTCACGTGTGTACCAATAACACGCTCGCCGGGGCCCATGCGGGTTTAGAATTGTATTTTACCCCTTTTTAGTGTACCTATGTGTATACAAATTATAGTGCACGTGCAGGGGTATTTTGAAATAGTTGTAGACGCCTTCTGTCTGCTTGTACGAATGTTGCAGATCCGGTGGCGTAGCTCTTTCTGAACAGAATTGTTCGCTGCTTTGTACAGGTAGACTGTCGTGCACTATTTGTTGATTTTCGTAGGCGGGTCATAGTGCACTAACTTCGTTATCGGCAAGAGGAGGAGGTGAGCCCTCTGGACGGGATCGGACGGAGAGGAGGCGGGTTCGGCTATGGAGGAGCACGGTTGGTAAGTCCTCCCTCTCTCTCTCTCTCTCTCTCTCTCTCTCTCTCTCTCTCTCTCGGGATCGAAAGGAGGAAGGGAGGTCTCGGATCGGAGCTACCGATTTATGGTGGATGAGGCGTCGGAAGCTCCAGGTATATGTGGGGTTGAAGATTTACGGGATTTGGCTGAAGTCTCAGCAGTGGAAGAAGAGATCCCGTGGATGGAGCCTTCCTTCGCATTTTAAAGGCAAAGCCAGAGGAGGGATTGAGGTGAGATCGCGTGGTCTGTCCGAAACGACGTCGTTTGCGGGAATTGGGGCGGGATTTCAGCAGAAAATCAGGAGAGGATCGTTCGGCGCCGCTCCGTACGAATTTCAGCGGGATTCCAGGAAATTCTCGGCGGAGTTCGTGGATCCGACAGTTTATAGGTATCTTATTTTTTTTTGTTCTTTTGTTCATAAGATGAAGGTCAACAGGGGGGAACCACCCCCTTGGGGAATGGGAAATTATGAAGGGAACAAAGGGAACAGAATTGATCTGAGGCTGAGGAAGCTGAAAATGCCAATTTTTTAGGGAAAGGATGCCCATGGGTGGATCTACAATGTGGAAAAGTATTTTATCATCAACAAGATGACAAAGGGGGAGAGATTGATGGCAGTCGAGATGTACTTGTAAGGGAAGGCTTTAGCATGGTTCTAGTGAAGGGATACGAGGCAACCGATACGGACATGGAGGAAGTTTAAATACCACTTATTGGAACGTCTCCAAACCAGCAAGGGAGGTGACTTCTATGAGTGGTTCTTCAATTTCATGCAGAAGAGGACAATGGTGTAGTATCGTGAGCAATTTGAGAATCTTGCTAGTCGGCTTGATCGGCTTTCATAGATATTGTACTTGAAGGGAACTTTATGAAGGGACTAAAACCAAATATTCGGGTAGCGATTAGAGTGATGAGGCTAATTGGTGGAGGATCAAAGACACCTGGAGATAGGAATGGGAGGCAGCAGCTAAAGAGGCTCGTATAGAATAACCACCACCTTTTTGGCACCTAAGAAGCTGACACCAAATACTCTTCAAGAGAACCAAAAAGAGAAGACAGTAGGTGCAAGACTAGAAATAACTTCAAGAAGTTCACAGAAATGAAGTTACAGGAGAAGAGGACGAAGGGGCTCTGTTTTAGATGTGATGAAAGGTATACACCTGGACACAGATGCAATAACCGAACTCTTCAGGTTCTCACCATTTGTCATGAAAAGGAAGCTGAGGAGCGTGACATCTTTTCACCTTGAGGACAAGGTGGGTCTTTGAGAGGGAGGTATTGTTAAACCGATCATCAAACCGGCCTAGCCGTTCCACACTAGACTAGCCCACTCCTAAGCGAGGCGAAATAGAGCCCGCCTCCCATCCTTGTCGCTCGAACCGTAGGGGGCAACAGAGCTATTTAGGAAGAATTTTTTTGGGAGTTAGGAGGGAAATTTCAAAGTATAGGCTGTTTAGAGAATTTATTTTGAATTTTATGTATTAAGTAGTATGTTTTGCTAGGGTTAGGACATCTTGAAATTGGCTGAAATTTGAATCTCTTAGGTTTTGGGCTCTAGCGATGTCTAAAGATTTGAGAGAGCCGGATCTTTCTCTCCAATTGAAGATCCACTTGTATCTTGTATTTCATAAGACTTTCAATAAAAAGCATTCTTGTGTGTTTTATTCCTAGTTTTCTTGTTGCTGGATTTCTGAAATTGCTGAAATCAGATTTCAACCAAGGTTTTTCCTAAATTTCTACAAGCACTTCCTATCACATTGACAATCACATCTATTACAGAAAATATAATCTAAATAAATGGGAGGATTTGGTGAGCAAATCAAAGGGTAGTAGATGCACAAATAAAACAAATAGATAAAACAAATGTATAATAATTATAAAGAAAAAAAAAATAGGCCAAAAGAAACTTTGATAGAAGTTGTCCAAAAATATTTAAGCAAAATGGGTAACAACTCAATGAGCACTCGATAGAGGTGACTTGAAAATGAAGATTTACAGAGCCAGATCATAATAGTTGGATAAGCTTATTGATGATGATGAATCAATTTATATATTACAACACAAACTATAGGTCTCCAATGCTACAAAAAACTAAACCATAAGCATAGCATTTCATTTCCACAATCTCTTCCAACTGATTACTGTCTTTAACATTTTTTTGGTAGTCATGCAATGAGAGGATTGATTGGTATTTATAATCTATACCAATAGCATAAAAAGGGCCTTTTGATCATTTATTTATGGCATGGAAACATGGGATGAAACATTGATGAGAACAAAACATTGAAATTCAAGTAGGGGCCTGGAATGGCCAACCAAGTCATGGAAAACTCTGGTAAAGCAGTAATTAACAACACAAGAAAAAGCAAAGAAAATTTTGATAGCGACAATCTCATATATGCTATAAGACTTCGTTGCTAAGCTATGACCATAAGGAAACCGGATAATTCTATAATACCTTGCAAACCGAGAGAAAATTATTAATCTCCTTCAATGCCATCGGCCCAAGATCAATAGGTGTCCAACCTATGAACAAAGATCAGTTTAACAAAGCTAATGAGGATAATTAACCTCGTATTAAAAAATATATTGCTTTAAGATGCTAGAGGGATGTAATAATTACAGAACATAAAAGATGAGTACGTGGCATAATCTCAACTTCACTGAGCTGTTATGGCATAAGCTTCTTGGTAGTATTGTGGTATTATAGTAACCATGAATCTAAGAGTTTTTATGATGATAGTGGCAAATCTAAGTGACCATGAATGTGAGTGCCATCAACATTAGGATGGTGAGAGTAAAAAAATCAAAACGGAATGGAAAGGTGCCACTTGTTTTTTTAATGGAAAGCATGAACGCTCCTTCCAAAACCTCAGCAATCATAAGAAATCAAAGAGGAAACAACTCATCCAAGAGCCAATCTATATACTTATATCACAACAAAAAGGAGAAAGCCGCTTAGTTAGAATTGCTCAACAAAGAGACAATGTGATACTCTGCACTTAATTAAGATAGAAAATCATGACTAACAAGCTGTGCCATTCTTTTTTATCTAGAATGCTCATTGATATAAGGTAAATAGGCAAGATAAGAAAAACTAAAAACAATTAAGGGGAAAAAGTAAAAAGATAACTAAATCTTCAGCATACAGCCTAAGGCTACCCCAGTACACAACCCAAGGTTTTCAATACATAACTTTAGAAGAAAAAGATTCATCAAAGACACACGATGAAGTACCAATCATAAAAATTTCATGAAACTTCCATCCAACATAATAAATAGCAATGTCCCCTTCAACTTCCAACTTAGAAGTGAAAAATAGGAAAAAGATACAAGTTACCCTCAATAAACAAGATAATGAGCTCAAGGATCCAGCATACCCAAAGAACCGTAAGAAATAAAAAAATTAACTCAGATGTCCTTCTAAGAAAAAATAATACTAAGAAGAATGTAACTATTCCAACAGCAATTACCACAAATGAAAAACACTATTTTCCAAATATGATAGTGCCCTTAGGGTTCTTTGGGTTTACAGTCACCTTAGTGAAATAATTTAGCTTATTGATGGCATCTTTTGTCTTTTTCAAGTTTTCTTCCTACAAGTAGGAGATTGGTATGAATATCATCGTTGATTATATCAAATGAAAGTTTCCTGCAGTTTTTTAAATTGTTACTTCTTTTAAAGTGCTTCATCACTTTATCTTCCAAGGTTGCATGCTGCAAACCGTAGGCTATGATTTGGGGTAGTTTTGGAATGTATGCTTTCATTATCTATCTCTTATCTTCCCATAACTTATTTTTTTTTTTTTTATCTTTCCTCAAGATCCAGCAACAATTTGGTATCCAAGCACATTAAAATTCCAACAAACACCATTTTATCTATTGTCACATAGTCTGAAATTTAAGATCTCAATTCGCCTTATAAATAGGCAAGCCTCCAATTTTTACAAAAATTCCTAGTGTAAGTGCTTATTTTGATGAAATATGCACTCAAAAACCTTCGTTTATTTCTTACGCTGCAAGCCCCACGTGAGTCATTCTTCCTCCATCAAAATCTCCAGCAAACTGCTTTCAAAATAAAAATCATAGACACATCACCCTTCCTCAAAATTATCAAGAACTCCCATTTAAAATTGAGTTGCCATTTCAAAAATTATATAAGGCTTGATGTTGTTGTTGTTGTTATTTTTGTTGTACTATTTCAAAATCAAATTTTGAATTTAATTAGAGGCCTTGCAACTACCCAACCATAAACGGCACCAAAAAAATCTCCAATTTAAATTACAAATCAGCTATTCTCCACCTCATCATATTTACCAAATTCTCATAATTCAAGTGCTGGATAAAAACTTTTTATAGTATTGACTGAATACTAGTAACTATATAAAAACAAGTAGAATATAGTAAGTGAGATAATATCCTCAATTATGATGATATAGTAAAGTAATAAATATATATCTTTTCAACATAGCACTTTCCTATGATAGCACTATGTTACGGGGGAGACATGCAGCCGGCTCAGCTGGGGCCAGTTCTGGGAAGAGCCTGGGTGTAACAGGCAACAGGTTCGGCCCCTCTTGTGAAGCCCAGTAAAGCTTTGATTAAATATATTAGGAGAGGAAATTAGGAGGGAAATAATAAAGGAAAGAATCCTAATTTTGGAATAGAGAAGAGAGGGAAATTAATTAAGGAAGGGGGCGTTTTTAGGGGGAATTAGGGAGTTTAATGAAGGGCTGATTCTAGGTTTTTGTTTTTCATATTTTGTTTGGGTATTTGTTGTAGTTTTTCTGAAGTTTTCTCTTGAGGGCATCCTAGCGGAGTCTAGGTCAAGTGGTTGAGACGGTCTACCCCCTCTAAACGTAGATCATTGTTTCTTGCTCTAGTGTTGGAGAATTTATATAGAAAATCAGCCATCGTTTCTCAATTTCTACTTTTTTTATTATCATTTCTTGCTGATTTCATATTCAACAAATTGGTATCAGAGCCAGGTCCTGGACCAAAAATTGTCATCTACTTGATGAAATCTATTTTAGAATTCCTTCCCTTCGCTGTTTTTTGCTGATTAAAGAACCTTCACCATTATTTTTGCAGTTTGGGACCATAATCCTTGAATGGCCAACAAACACCATTTTATCTATTGTCACATAGTCTGAAATTTCAGCTCTCAATTCGACTTATAGATAGGCAAGCCTCCAATTTTAACAAAAATTCCTAGTTTAAGTGCTTATTTTGCTGAAATGCACACAAAAACCTTCGTTTATTGCTAATGCTGCAAGCCCAACGTGAGTCATTCTTCCTCCACCAAAATCTCCAGCAAACTGTTTCAAAATCAAAATCATAGACACGTCACCCTTCCTCAAAATTATCAAGAACTCCAATTTAAAATTTAGTTACCATTTCAAAAATTATATAAGGTTTGATGTTGTTGTTGTTGTAATTTTTGTTGTACTATTTCAAAATCAAAATTTGAATTTAATTAGATGCCTTGCAACTACCCAACCATAAACAGCACCAAACAATCTCCATTTCAAATTACAAATCAGCTATTCTCCACCTTATCTTGTCAGGTCCAATAAAGCTTTGATTAAATATACAAGCAGACGTAATTAGGAGGGAAATAATAAACGAAAGAATCCTAATATTGAAATAGAGAAGAGAGGGAAACTAATTAAGGGGGGCTTTTTTGGGGGGAATTAGGGAGTTTAATGGAGGGCTTTCAAATTTTGTTTGGGTATTTGCTGTAGTTTTCCTGAAGTTTTCTCTTGAGGGCATCCTAGCGGAATCTAGGTCAAGTGGGAGGGACGGTCTACCCCTCTAAACGTAGATCATTGTATATTGCTCTAGTTTTGGAGAATTTATATAGAAAATCAGCCGTCATTTCTCAATTTCTACTGTTTTTATTATCATTTCTTGCTGATTTCATATTCAAGGAGTATCAAATTGGTATCAAAGTCAGGTCCTGAACAAAGAATTGTCATCCACTTGCTGAAATCTGTTGCAGAAATCCTTCCCTTACCTTCACCATTATTTTTGCAATTAGGGACCATAATCCCTGAATGGCCAACAAACACCATTTTCTCTATTGTCACATAGTCTGAAATTTCAGCTCTCAATTCGGCTTATAGATAAGCAAGCCTCCAATTTTTACAAAACTTCCTAGTAAAAGTGCTTATTTTGCTGAAATGTGCACTCAAAAACCTTCTTTTATTGCTTATGATGCAAGCCCCACATAAGTCATTCTTCCTCCACCAAAATCTCCAGCAAACTATTTCAAAATCAAAATCATAGACACATCACCCTTCCTCAAAATTATCAAGAACTCCCATTTAAAATTGAGTTACCATTTCAAAAATTATATAAGGCTTGATGTTGTTGTTGTTGTTGTTAATTTTGTTGTACTATTTCAAAATCAAAATTTGAAATTAATTAGAGGCCTTGCAACTACCCAACCATAAACAGCACCAAAACAACTCAAGGTTGAGATAGAGAAAAAAATATTCTGGAATGGAAGAAAGGGAAGACCAAAGCCTGAATATATGTACTATAAATATTAATCGACTATAAATATAATTCATTTGATGAGAATATGCAACAGTAGTTTAAAGGAAAGATTGGAGCCTATCCATAAGGATTAGAAGCGCATTTTAGATAAAAACTTCTATAATTAAATTCAAAGCCATCTAAAGTTTGATATCAATAAGATTATAATTGAATCAAACATCTCAATAAGATGAAGCTATTAACACTTGATGTATAATTAAAGGAGCTTGGATCAAGCACTTGAAGTATAATTAAAACATTAGGACATTAATTGGTGCACCAAATAAACTTTAAGCTTATATTCAAATCAAGCATCTCATTGAGAATAATCTTAAGGGTGGTCATGTGTAAGCCCAAAGGGCGATATCGTCTTTTATTTTTCATCTATTGTATGAGGCTATATATAGCTCTTATGTTCTCTTTTGAAGTTAATGAATGAATGATCAAATTTTCTACGTTTTGAGTTCTTATGAGAGCTTGAGAGAAATTTAAAGAGAGACCCCTTGGAGAGGGAATCGGATCACCCACCAACCTTAGAAGAGTCTGGGTTCGTGGCTAGTTACCTTTTATTTTTTTAATCTTCCTCCTTTGATCCACGGTTTACCTAGCCCAACCGCCAGATCCCCAAATCTTTTCCCCCTCCACATATGTCATCTTCATCCCACCTCCACCACCCCAATCAACTCCTTCCCCTACCTAGCCGCCGCCCCTCTCACCCAAAACCCCTTAGTCCAAACCGCCCACCTTGGTTTTCCCTCCATCATCACTTACCATTAAACCCTTCCTAAATTAGCTTTTCATATTTTAGTTAACTCAATTAATGTGCAAATTATAATCTATTTGAATTTGAATTTATTACCTAAAATATAAATCCTATGTTAGGAAAGTTTTCAAATCCTATCCTATTTGAATTTTAAATTAAGATAGAATGAGATCTCTCTTTCAAAATTTAATTTCCTAATTCAATAAAGCATTAAATGATTCCA